CACAATTCTTTGATTTTTACCTCGAGGAGCACCACCTCTCATAATGAAGACCTAAGACAAGTTCCCTCTTGTTTGGCTGGGGGAGGGGAAAATTAACCATTTTGAAATACACCCAGGGGAAAAACAATCCTTTCAAATACCTTCAAGAACATTCTGTTTTTCATAACAAAGGCCTGCCATTAAGGAAAACTGCTTTACCAGAACCTTATCTAATGTGGGAGAAGGGAAATATCCAACTCCAGGACCCTTTAGTCTTCCTCTATCACCTAAGAGGGGGAAAAGGGGAAGCTGAGAAGCACTTGTGAAGGTAACAACCCAGAGACACAGACACACTAACAAACTGCTCAACACATTATAGACTGCTTCCCTTCCAGTCCACTTTACCACCACATCAAGAGGGTTCCTGTACAGTAACAGTGGATTACAGCTGAAAGAACTGCAAGGTTCAGACTCTCTTTAAGAAGGAATTCTTAGGGAAACCCAAGACAACAGGAGACAAAAGCAAGGACACTAGAGCAATTAGACACCTACAGCTATAGGAAACATTTAACACAGCCTAACTCCTAGCAAAATAAACATAAAATCTCACAATAAAGGCCTATTTACCTCAGTTCCTTTTATCCAATACATCATGTGTGGCTTTCAACACAAAAATTACAAGGCATGCTAAAAGATAGAAACACAGTTTGGAGAGACAAAGCAAGCATAGAAACAGGCACAAATATGGCAGAGATTTTGGAATTATCAGAACAGAAATTTAAAATAACTATGATTAATATGTGAATGGCTCTAACAGAAAAAGTGGACAGCATGCAAGAGAAGAATAATGTGAGCAGAGAGATGGAAACTCAAAGAAGCAAAAGGAAATGCTAGAAATAAGAAACACTAAAAACGGAAAAATGCCTTTGATGGCATTCATCAGTAGACTGGAGATGGTCGTTAGCAATTGGTCAGCTTGCAGGTATGCTGATAGAGACTTCCCAAAGTGAATGCAAAGAAATAAAAGAATGAAAAACCAACAACACTGGAACACAATATTTAAGAAATGTATACCACCAAGAGTAAACTCTAATGTAAATTATGGATTTTGGGTGCTTATGATGTGTCAGTGTAGGTTCATCAACCGTAACCAATGTACCACTCTTGACAGGGATATTGATAGTGGTGGAGGGTATGCATGTGTGGGGACAGGGGGTATATAGGAATTCTCTGTACCTTCCTTTCCATTTCTATGAACCTAAAAATGCTCTAAAAAAATCCCTGCTTTACAGACAAGAAAATGGAGACACAGAAATTAAATAATTTGCTGAGTCTTACCAAGGTCCACTAGGTACAAAATAGGGATTGGCAAGGAGTCAGTCTGGCACTAGAACTTTTGTCTTGAACCAACACACTTTTCTTTTTCTGAATCCTGCTTCTTTTACCTAACAATGTATCTTGCAGATCAATCCATACAAGTACATATAGAGCTCCTTTTAATTTAACCAGTCTTATATTGATAGCAAAGTTGTTCCAATCTCTGACTTAATGTTACATTAGTCTTACATATGTCACTTCCCACATGTGTGAGTACCTATATGATAAATTTCTGGAAGTAAAATTGCCAGGTTAACAAATATGTGCTTTTAAATTTTGATATTTTGAAAAATTGCGCTCTACAGAAGTTGTATCAATTTATACTGTTCTACAAACGTACACATTGGAGACAACATGGTAAAGTAGGTGTGGCCACAAGAGGAGACGAGAACAAGGCATGGAAGGAGGAAGTTTATTATATTCACAGGTGTCAGAGAGGTCACGGCACACCACAAGGGAAGCACTAGGTTGAGCCAGGAGACAGAAGCAAGGGGAAAGTCTAGGCTGAAACCTTTATTGGAGTTTCAATGGGAAAGGCAAGCCAGGGCAGAGTGAACATTTTAGGATTGGCTAGTTTGAATAATTCCAGTAGGCAGGCGTTGGGCCATAGGAGTGGTCTCTAGTTCCCTTGGTGTCTGGCCCTGGGACAATTTAGAGCAGAGGAAATACTGGCTTGTGTGTGAGTTAGATGAGGAGGTGATTGGGGCCTTAGACTTGGGATTAGTTGGTTTGAATGTGAAAGATGTGCTCCAGGGCAAGTCCTTTGCTATGTCTAAAAAAGAGACATATTTCTATGTCCTGGGAGGGGCAATCTCTCTCTGGCTAGCAAGCTTTTTAAGATGTCAAAACATCATAAAATACAGAAAAAAAATTAATGCATATACTTTAATTAGCAGTGTATAAGACTGCCTATTTTCCCACATCTTCACCAACATTATATATTATTTGATCTTTGGTAATCTGGTGAAAACGGACATCAGGTGTAGTTTTATCTGTATTTTATTGTTTGCTTATTTTTCTTCTGATTGTTTTTCTTATTCACTAAACAAATATTAAGTGCTTACAATGTGTCATGTACTTATGATGTGCGAACAAAATAGACAAAGCCCTTACCCTCAGGGAGCTTACATTTCAAGAAATGTGTAGGACCCATAAGGAGAAAACTACAAAACTTTAAAGCGACATAAAAGAACTGAGTAAATGAAAAGACAATGTTGATAGATGAGAAGAATCAATGTTAGGAAGATGGCAATTATTACCAACTTGGTAGGTGTGGTACGAAATCACAAAGTTTTTTGGGGGGGAAAGCAGAGGTGGCAACTTGACAAAATGTTACTTGAAATAATGAATAAATATGAACATTTTGAAACAAAGATATGAGGATCTCTGCGGTACTAGTACAACAACAGACAACCAGAAACAAACTCTAGTTTATATATGATGTGCTTATCTGTGAGCAAGTACCATACTATTTTAATTATTATAGTTTTTCAATACTTAAAAATCTGGTACGGTTGTTTCCCCCAGTAGTTTTCAGAATTTATAAAAACTGCATTAAAAATCAACTACTTTTGGCTGTTTGGATCATGCTTCTTTGACTACAATTTCACCCAGCGAGTGGACATGAAGGAGCCAGGTGTCATAAGGGTTACTCACATACACCCAGTGTTAACATGCTTAGGGGAAAAAAACTCCACAGTGGTCATGGGGGAGGAGTCAGAGATTATTGAGACTTTTTTTTTTTTACTTATTTCTCTATTTTTTGGGCTTTTAATTTATAATAAAAATATATTACTTTTATAAACTCATACCTACACATATATAAAAATATATACAAAATAATATAATAGAAAGGCAATGGCAGAAGTGATATCAAATATTGAAATTCAGAAAAAATCCAGTTAAGTTAAAGCTGGTATGTTCTCTACTTAATCTTTCAAAGAGGAAAGTAATATATTTCACGATTTGATATACTAAAATTTTTGTGTTTGACAAGAGTCTTTTCTGAGCAATCCTTAAAACCACTTTCACTTCAAGATTTACCTTCAAACTTCTGAGAATACTATCTTATTACAAAGGTAAAGGGGATACTTTAAAGAATGCATCAGAGAAACACTTGACATAATGAGGTGTGGTTTTAAAAATGTCAATTACATATTTTGTACAAGCTAAATGTGGGTAAAACACAACAGCATTCCATTTATAGTCTTATTGTCTTTTCCAATTGAGGAGAATTAAGCACCAAAATGCACTGCTTAGCTAGAGGACAGACTATCAAGAATCTAAAATACTTTTTATAATGCTATACATTCATGAAATACCCAAATAAGTAGACTGAACAAATATAAAGACAAATCTCCAAATACTATCTCACCAATACTAAGTTGACTCTGATCAGTATTAGAAGAAAAAAACCCCAATATTTACTTCCATAAAGTTTTTAATAAGCTACCATTTTCTTACATGCACAGTAGTAACCTTAAAAAGACAAATATTTACTACCAAATGTTAAATACTGTACGATTCATAAAAAATATTTTAAGAATTTGAAGTAATAATGGGAAGATACCTACTTCAAATTGATTCAAGAAAATTCCCCTTTTTAATAAATTTAACCAGAAAATGGGAAATTTCCAATTTGTCTAAGGGAATACTAACAATTTTTACTGAAGCCAAAGACCTTACTATTTTTGTTCAAGCATTCATCTACATAGCTTTAAATAAACCTTAAAAATTATTTTCTTGTACATACAAGGCTGCTAACCAGAGTGCATGACTGGGGGAAAAAGGACTATGCTAGAATGAGAAGTCATGAAGACGAGGGATATGTCTTATTCATCTTTATATCCCCCGTTAGTAGCATAATGCCTAACTCAACGTAATAGTGCTTAAGAAATGCTTGTCGCTGGGCTGGCCTGGGGCACAGCGGTTAAGTGTGTGTGCTCTGGCGCGGTGGCCCAGGTTTCGGATCCCGGACGCGCACCAACGCACCGCTTGGCAAGCCATGCTGTGGCGGCGTCCCATATAAAGTGGAGGAAGATGGGCACAGATGTTAGCCCAGGGCCAGTCTTCCTCAGCAAAAAGAGGAGGACTGGCAATGGTTGTTAGCTCAGGGCTAATCTTCCTCACATACACACACAAACAAAACAAAAAAAAAAAAAAGAAAAGAAAGAAAGAAATGGTTGTTGCTTTGAACTGAACTGGGCAAATACACATTTCTCCGTCTGGTCCAATTTTCACTCCATGTTAAGCACTACGTTTGAAGTACCTGAGCTGCAGTCCTGGTTCTTGGCCCTAGACCTTAAATTGTGTAAGGTAAGCCAATACACATACACTTTCTACATCAGCCTTCTGACAGGATCCTCACAACTGAATCATCACTATGTGAATCTTCTTTTATCTGGTCTGATTCTTATTTCTTGGATAACAGTTAATATCAGTGTGAAAAAGTATTGCATTTTCAGTGCAGGGTAAGTATGTTTATATGAATAAGAATGGAATAAAGGCCTTGCTTTTCCATATTTTAAATAACAGATACATAGCATCTTATATTATGACATAATTAGCAATTTTTAGACACTGAACACAACACACTGTATTACAATGCAATGTGGTAAGGCTTCCATTTTAGGAACAAAAATAAATTTCACATGAAAAAAGATTTATTTTAAATTCACATAAAATACATTTAGAATAAATCTAAATTTTTAGCATCCAAGTACTTAGAAACAACCACGGAGGAGCTTTAGGTTGGATAGTCTCCATTCTGCCCAAAAAGCACGTACAAAAAGCTCTTTTACAATTATTGATCATCACCTCGTTGCCTTAAATTTCTAGATTTTCCATTTTCAATTCTTCTCTTTTTGAAGACTGGGGCCACTCCATCTGCCACGACTCCAAGAGAAGTGACTGTTTTTTCTTTAAATACCACTTTGGGTTCCCCACCAACATCAGCTTCTGAAGTTGATACATATTCATTTTCAGTGCTTGGAAGTTCCAAATCTACCTCCTCACTGGAACAGAAGGTAAAAATAAAACCATTATTTGACAGAGTAATACAAACTGTCACATGACCTGTGAGCCCACCAAAGCCCCAAGATCTAATGAGAACAGTGAGAAATTAGAAGTTGGTCATTTTGGAGTAGGAAACTATTTTAAAATACTGATTTTATAGTATTATTTAAGATACCAAGTACTCATTTAGGTGGACACATGTCAGGAAAAGTCCCATCTATTATTTTATTCCTGTTGCACAAAAGGTATATCATCTAAGGAAATACTTGTGCTTATATATGATTAGCAGTACAAGTTACACAGGTGGATAAACGAGAGGTATTTATGGAAACTAATTTTGCCAGGGACTGACAAGGACTCTGAGGGCTTACACAGCACAAGATGAAAACCATGGAATCTCAACATCCTAGTGTAGGAGACTCCTTGCGGCTGTTTGCCTAGCACTTCTTTTTTAGGAACTAGCCCTTCAACCATCCACGTGGTTAGTATAAATAATCAGTTGACTAGTCCAGAGATTAGTATCTGATTAATATGAGCCTATGCTAGTACCCTACTCTCTTAACAGTCAACTGGTCCATGAAAGAGCAAGTAAGTCACATCACACCCATCAGTCCCACCCATGAGCTTCTTTGAACATGAACCAGACAGATCATTATGTTTGACTCTCTAGTAGCTAAGAGTATAAAACCTGTTGGGAACCACATATCCTCCCATTTAGAGAAAGGAGTTCTGCAGAGAGAGAGAATAAAGCTGGCATGCAGAGAAAAACAGGGGTGTGAGATGGAGAGTCCTGCCAACGTTTCAAGCTTGCTTCCAGTACTTCCTGAGGCCCAGCCCAATTCCTGCCCCTCCCACAGCTTGGTAGGTAGACCCTTCCTGGGAAGCTCTGCACTAATAACCTCTTTTTTACTTAAGGTAACTCAAGTCTCTATCATTTGAAACCAAAAGATTACCTGGTCAGCATGAAAGAAGAGTGATGAAAGGAGAGAAAAGGGAATAAAAAGTAAAGGAATGGTTTAAATGTTAGAAGTCCCGGCTATCAAGAGTTAAGAAACCCCATCTAAGAAGAGTGAAGAGTGGTACAGAGCTATACTCCTCAATCTCAGAACACCGGTAATATAGTCATTCAGTTTGCTTCCGGGAAATAAAGAGAGAAAAACCCTTCTTAGAGGCCAGGAGAAGTTTGGAAGACTATAGTAAATCTAGAGTAGTAGGACTTATAATAATAATAGCTATACTGAATGCCTACTATGTGTCAGATCATTCACTAAGCACTTGGAGTAGAAATAATCTAATTTTACTTTGGCTCTTCTAGTGTCTTTTTTAGCACTAGAACTCCTTTTTTTCCCTTTTGGGAACCACCTCTTTTCCCTTCTTGTCCATAAGTTTGGAGTTCAGTTCATGTCCACTCAGAATTCACAGTGGTTAGCTCAGGAATGGGAACGAGGGATGAAAACTAAGCCAGACCAGTTTTGGAACTGGTAAAGGAGCACCCTCTTTTTGCTGAGATCTCTAACTGTAAGTATGATATAAGCCTAAAGCTTTGCTACCAGGTCAGAAAAGCCTGCTTGAGAAAGGGGGTCAAGTCAGAGGAAAGCAGAGACAAAAGTCAGAGACAGACACAGTGTCCCGATGATTTTATTCAAACCCAAGTCTAGCCAGGCTTGAAGCCACTGCACCCCTAGACACACCAGAATTTCTGTCATTTGCAAATGAAAAGAGCACTGGAATGGATTACATATACTTCTCACAACAAAACCAGCAAGGCAACAATAGTGATTTCCCATCAACTATGATTCTTTGATAACTGCCATTTAGAGATAATGTGATTTTTATATGTCTGCTAAGACTTAAAATTTAATTTATGCTATTTGGTTCAATTATCTTAAAAGTACATGATAACAAACTTGCTTCCCTCTCACACAGACTATGTAGAAAGACCGTGATGATAGTATTGAGAGATCTTTTATGCTCCATCCTATATATACCTGGATAAAAACACAGGTTTAAAAAAGCAGATCTCTAGGCACTGTAATAATTTTTTTAAGTGTAAGAATAGTTAGGAAATTTGATAGCATTGCAAAAAACAAAATAAATGAGAATATAAGTAAAAAGATAAAATTTCAAACCAGTAATGGCTAGTTTTAAACTAAAAAAAAAAAAAAAACTATTCTGTGTAATATAAAACTTGAGGAAGAAGCTTAGTAGATCATGATGTTATATAACATTTCCTGAAAATCTAGTAAGGGGATGCAGGAAATAGGGATTCTCAGTGGAAGACGTCTTAAATCTGATTTGTTTTGAAAACAGATGCCTTCCAAAACATTTCTTTACTATATTAAAAATACGTTAAATGCCATTTTTGTTTGCTTTTTCTACTTCCCTGTTTTCCCTTAGATTGCCAACAGTGGTGCTTTCTAAGAAGGCTAGTATTCCCTGAAGTTGATGAGGTATTAATTCTTGGCTTTTTATTCTTTTTCTACAGGAAAGGAAACTGAAGCTTAGAGAGAGGTTAATAACTTGGTCAACCAAACTGTTATGTAAGTAGTAGAGTGTGAATTAAAACCCAGGCCTGCCCGACCTAAAACCTATAATCTCTCCCCTAGACCACTTCCAGGTGAAACTAAGAAATTCCACTAACCAAGCAGAAGATTTGAGTAATGAAGAATAGCAGGGTTTGGTCACTCAACAAATGAATTTGTGTCTAAGAAAATTTGATGTTCAACTCATTTATTTCACTGAATCTTGGTGCTTTGTGTTATATTTTGATAAAGTGATCAAGCCATAGTATTACTTCTTAAGTGGGACTATGGGAGAGATAAAACAGAGAAGGGTTCCATTTCTGAAATCATAATCCCAGGAAGTTCCTAAGAGTTTAACAGAAGTGGCAGCGAAGTAGGACATATCCCTGAGACATAGTCAGAGGAAAAGAAGTTTGTATTTGAAGGAAAAGGCCAAGGGCCTGTAGGTAAACTATATTACAGAGAAACTGCCTTCTTTTCAAATAACTTTGGAAAAGTTACAAAAAATAATTATGTAAAGCACTTCCACAAAAACCATAATCATTTCCAAATTCAAAATGCAAAAATTGTAAAGGTTATAATATCTGAGCACAATGTAATAAAGGCAGGAAAAAAAACCCCAAAACTCCCACTCACGTGAAGATTTAAAACGAAATACTTTCTGGAAAACGAAGTCAAAAAGTAAGCAAAACACAATATTAAACTGTTCCCAAAACAATGAAATCGAAGAATCTTCATTCAAAGTTTATGTGATATATGGGCAGAACTATATTCAGAGACAAAATAGCTTTATCTATTTTCATTAAGAAACAAGAATGGACCCCTTCCTCACCTCTTGTCAATAGTCATAAGTGCATCTGAAGAAAGAAGAAAAAGAAAGACACAAAAAAATTTAGGGGAAGAAAACTAAAAAATAAAAGTAGAAATGAATAAACAGAAAATCCATTAATAAGTGAAAACGTAATAAAATAGAGAATTAAAAACAAGAGCTAATTCATTAAGGAAAGACAAATTTAAAAAATCCTTTAGTGGAGACCCCAGCTTCCATCCCCATAAAATGATCAACAATTAGACAGCTATCCATGAACAAAAAACAGCTCTGGGAGAGCTCTGGAATCACTTAAGACATTTTAGCAACACAGTAGAACAAAACACCCTGAAAATAACTGCAAAAGGAGAAGGAAGACAACTTCATTTTTGCTTGCACCATTCCATCCCCCAAGCTGACACTGCTCAGAGCAAAGAGGAAACTTGCTAGCTAGAAACAGTTCCCCTCACCAGGAAAAGAGGAGTGGAGTGAGTGACCAGTGTATCCAGGCTTCTGGGGCACTGCATCCACTTCAGTTTCACCCCATCCAGACTGGTGAAGCCGAGACGTATAAGGCGGCTGGGAACAAGGAAGAAAAGCAGGGACTACTAAGAGCATCCATTTGGCCAGAGCCACTGCAGTTCAGTGACCTGCTCTACAGAAAAACCAAGCAGCTTTTGCCACTGAAGAAGTAACCAACAGATTGCATAGTTGCTGCAGACCCCCTGCAGATTTGACCAGGTATTTCAACCCACAGGTATTAACTTTTACTGAAGCCAGCTGCTTGAGCCCCTCCACCCCCCACAAGAGCCTCGAAACCACACTAACAACCAGCTCAGGTCTCTGTGTGAGTGCAAGATGCCAGACTAGCCACCCGTGGTCGACCCCTACTGCCAGTTGCACGCTTGGGGCCGTCCAGATGCCTGTCACCAGCCTGTACGGCAGTCTGCATGCCCAGGGGAGATAATACAACATAGGAGATCATGCCAACAGCCAAGACCCCTGCAGCTGTTTATGGCCCTGGATTAGGACCTATCTTCTGTCACTGGCCTACAAGACCACACTTATCTGTAGCTAGCTCCTCCAGCTGCACCCCTGTATGCCTCCAGCCTAACCCCTGACACTAGGCTCCACTGCAGGGCACACCCCCAGAAAGAGATTGTGTAGCCACGGGAGAGCATGCTGATAGCCAGGGTCCCTGAGGCTGCCATTGAACTGTAGTTGGCCCTAGACCTTGCTGCCTACCTGGCTCCCACCACTATGTGTGTCTGAAACCAGCCCCTGCCACTACATAAACACTCGTAGCAGGCCCCCACAGCTGAGTATATGCACACCACCAGACCCAGCCACCACCACTGCCTGCCCTGGCTCCTAGCTGCTGGAAGTGGAAGCACCACTGGGGACCCCAACAGCCCTTGCAGCCACCACGGAATATCCACAGTGCTCACCAAGGACCGCACAACTGTTGGATCCTAGTAGCCTGAGCCAAAGAGGTAACACACCCCTCTGGACCCAATGCTGCCACACGCCCCTGCATTTGGTGCCCTGTACCACTAGACCTGGAGTCACAGCATGCTCGAACGTGCCCCCACTTGCAGGGGAAAGTCTTCTCTTACTGAAGTCAGTCCATAAAGTTTGCAAAAGGTGATTTGTTTTTCAAACGTGTAGA